TGCGTCCGTTTTCCCCTCTTGTGTCTAATCCGAGTAGAGGAATAAAGATCTTAATAAAGCCCGTTACAGGAAAGAAATGATGCCAACTTTCTCACCAGAATGATGATACACATACTTCTCCAGATAATAATCGATACAATTCGAAAGCCTACTTTTCCCCGGAAACTACATTCCCCAACATTTTTACCAGACACAAAGAAGTAGAACTTGCTCAAGTTATCTTATTTTTCTTGTTCTGCAGCCGCGAATTGTTGCAACCTTGTAGAAATTCCGGAGAAGAAAAAGAAAGAAATGTCTTGAGGGAGCTGGGTTCGGTTTAGTGGGAGCATTTCTAGTCCACTAATGGTCACGGGGAACTGTATCAATCTCTTTTCATGTGCTTCTGCATACTTTTTCGGCATGCCTGGGATTTTTAGCTGCTTAAAATTTTTACGCACTTATATGTGTACTCCCAGTAAAAAATATGACATGGAAATGTTTAGTTAGAATTACATTAAAGGTGGAATAAGTGGAATATGTATTATATAAATAAATATCTCAAAACGTAAAATAAAATGCACCAAGGTAGAACATAAAACCGGAAATAAACAGGTCGAAAACCTCAAGTTAGGCAAAATATGGCTAAATTATAGACCTCTAAAAAATTCATGTGTATAGGCAATTTCGGACTAAAATATTTATTAATTTTTAGATCGTTGAGTTTACTTATTCACATATCTACATATTTCTAAATTTATGCCAGCGTAATAATAATTTTTATGTCACGGAAATACTTATAACCGATTAGACTTGTCTAATTGTAATTATGCATCGTTTTATTTCTAAATATGAAAAAAGTAAAGCTACACAAAATAATTCTTCACGTGATTCCCACAGATTTTGTAAAAAAAAATGTTTTCTCCAAATACTTTGGTTAATTTATATCCACAAAATAAAATATGTATTGGCCACTCCTTAGAAAAAAATACACCAGAAATTTTCATGGCATCAGAATGTCGAGAATTTGACCCACTTTCACCGAGCCGTCAAGCTTGTCTAACGCGTGAGAAGTTACACCGAATAAGATCCATTGTTTCCGAGAAAGTTGGAAGTTTGCGGTCAGCCGAAATTAAATGGGCTGTCAAGGTGTTGTCGTTTCTCGGTCAGTTCTTGATGGATTGCACTCTACCCTTGGTTTCATTAAAGGGGGAAATACTCGAAAATAATTAAATACCAAAGTGTAATTAAATAAAGCGGTTGGATCAATGGGATCAAATTACATGCTTTAGAATTACTATACCAAAGTTAAACTTGAGAAGGAATAAAATTAAAACTTGTTTGTTCATTTTGTGTCATTTATGCTGAAAATTTTTCCGTTTCGAATGCAAATCAACCTTGCCTTGCTAAAGGTGATAGTATTTTCGACATAGTTGAAAAATCAATTTAAATCCAAAACTTTACTTTTGATATTTTAATATGCTTCAAATTTTGCTTGAAAAAAAAATGCTCTCGATTTAAAAAATTCAACAATGTAACATTTCAGCGTCGTTTTAAAATTATTTTTACTTCCAAGTTTTTAATGTTGGACATGTAGGTGAGTATGAATGTCCTCTAGTACATTATTTAGAAGAATGTGCAGTTGTGAGTTATTAATATAGGAAAAAAATAGGAAAGGAAAAACAAAGGAAAAACAAAGGAAAAACAAAGGAAAGGTTTTTCCTTTCCTATTTTTTTCCTGTCCTCTAGTACATGTCGAGTTATCACATCAAGAAATACGGTATGATCCACAATTCACAAATGTTGAAACTAATTGCACGAATTAAACAAAATACATTTGACAAATTCGTTAATTTACGTATCTATTTAGACTTGATAAAGTCACCAAAAAAACGGCAAAATTTGTATGAAAACATAACAATTAAACGGCAAAAAATATCTGATCGACTTTCACTCGGAATGAAATTTGTTGCTATTTTCACTCTCGCACATGGTCCACTAGGTAATAAGCTCGCTTTTCTTCGATAATGATCGCACAATTCTAGATCAAATGACGGAATTTATTCACTTTTATTGTGTTTGTCCACCACTAAGAATTCCAGACCTCTTAAAAATCTTGGAATACAAATTTTTAAAATATGTGTAAAATTGGTAGCAATGACCAAATTATAAATAAAGAAATACCAATTCCAACCAAAATATGACCAACCCCGTTCATAGGTAGGTAGGTAGGTAGGTTTATTCAAGATTGATATAGCGCAAGCTCTTACAATCATCATCGTTCATTCATTTCATACAAAAGTTCATTCAAATTACATACATAGTTTCATAATGATTAAATCTAAGAATTAACAAAGTATGTGCTCAGTTGTGGGCATAATCCACAAGTAGCACACGGCATCCCAATACAGGCTAATCACACACTATGATAAATTTATAAAATCTAATGATAATATGTATGTAGCAGTATGGGTGTAGAGGAAAAACCGGAGATGGTCTCGGAAAACCTCTACATGTATTGGGAAGTTGGCCCAATACACCATTCGGCCCATTACTGCTGGACACCAGGTAGGAAAATGAATGGCAGGGATACATAGGCGGATTCCGTGGGGTGGTGGTGATATTCAAATGAGGGTGGCGTCTGCATGCGGAAGTAGACGGTTGAAGGTTGTTGGGCGGGGGCTGTCCACGGACCGCAGGATCTTGCCCGCGTCCCCCATGGAAGCCGTAGCCGGGGCCGACGACACCCCCACTTGCCCCTTCTCCCATCACAACACAATCAGGTCATGGGACCCCCGTAGACCCGACTATGCCGCCCTCCGACATGCACGACCCCCTCCTCCACTCTTCAACCAACCACTCCCCACGGTCACCACCCCGATATGCCAAACAAAAACCTACCTGGGGGAGCCCCTCCAAGGCGTAGATCCTCCTGTGCACTGGGTCCTGCGAATCCATCTTCGCCTGTTGGCTCAGCTTGTCGTTGCTGGGACGGGTGTGGCAGGGGGTGTCACTAGGCACGCAGGTGGGGGGTGTGAGTGGACGAGGCTCACGTGGCGAAAAGCCCTTAGGACACACTTTACTTGCCCTGGCACACCCGCGACCCAGATGGAAGAGGATCCAGATGCAGAGCGAGAGAGAGATACGTCGTGCACGGAGGAAGCCAAAGAGGAGACTTACCAACCCCGTTCATAAATTATATCCCTACCGGTAAAAAATCCTACCAGTATATCTTCTCTTGCTATTATTTTATGGTATTTTGGTAAAATGTATCCCTGTCGGTAAAAAACTCCTACCACAACATCTTCCCTTCGTATTTTATGGTATTTTTGTAAAATTTTACCGACAAAATAGTCGGTTAGAAATGTAGTGACAAATTTCTTAGGGTGTTCTCCACTACAATAAAATTACTAGTACCTACATAACCACACAACTGCTAACTTCGTCTCGCTTTCCTTTTCTTCTCCTGCTCAGAAATAAATTGGGGCAGGAATCGAATGAATGAAATGAAATGCCCAACTTTCTCTGCGGCATCAATTCAATGGCTTCCTTATTGGCTTTCGGGACGTGTTGTGGAAATTCCGTTGTGTTGTTGTTGATGTAAAGTGAGTTCCATTACGTCAAATTTAATGGAACCACTTCTCCCCCACCGACCGACCAGACCACGAACAATAAACGACGTCTTTTCGGTTTCCTTTCTTACGGGGATAATTAGGGCCTCATTTTACTTCAAGAAAGGAAAATTTGGATAATGCTTTTATTCTTAAGGTGAATTTATTCTTTGTCGCTACCAACTGCTGGTAATGCTATAATGCACGTGTGCACGATAAGCTTCTGGGGAACAAATCTCGGAAATAGACAATACTAGCGATGAGTAAAAAAAATTCGAATAAATTTGGAACTAAATTTCTAAATTTGTCCATAGAAAGTATTTCGAGCTTTTTACATGAAAATAATTTTAATAAAATACTACGATAAATTGCATAGCTTCAGAAATGGCACAAACAATAGAGAAAATAATAATTGCAAATTTCTAGATGCTGCAATATTTAACATATGACATTCAGGATGGGCCTAAACAATATAAAAAAATTGAAAAACCGAACAATCCAAAATTTCAGAAACTGCAAATTTTCTAAAATTTCTAAAACAGCCATTTGTTGCAAAAAAATCCCCTTAACAAAGTTACAAAGGCTACACAACAATAATTAAAAATTTTCCCACAGTGGGCACGTACTTTATAAAGAGCTTTTCCAAAAAAAGTGAAAGTTTTGTTCAGATTTTTTCACCTATTCTCATTATCTAAGGCTCAAAAGGCAATCTGACCCAAGCCGGGAGAAGGTTGAGACTCATCCTTCAAGTGAAAGTGGACTCATTACATCACAGGTAGGAAATCACGTCCAGTTGTCCACAGGGAAACTTTAATCCCAAGTGATGAAGCACACACTTCGTACTCGGAAAGCCGCAGAAAAACACTCTTAGAAGTCTAGTAAACATTAACGTGATTACAAAACGTACGGTAAAATAATGGAGCCAAAAACTTAGATTTTGTTATCAGTTGGGGATAACTTCTTATCTTCGAATAAGAAAAACGGCAATTTGCATGTTATAAAATAACGATTACATGTAGAGAAGGTAAATTTCGTTGCCAAATTAAATATTAAATTGGTATAAACAATTAATTCATTGGTTACAAATAATCTGAACTTATTTTATTCGAACACATGCACCTAATTAAAAACTGGGATAAAATTTTATCTCATAATTACAATTTCGACGTACAAATATTGCAAAAATCCAGAAATTGTAAAAATTTCTAAGAGTGTGCCCAACTGCTGCCCAGTGTTGGCTATGAATTCTTACAAAAGATACCTACATTCCTCCTACGTTTCCAGAATGAAGAGAAAGCAGTAGCACATATTTTTTTCCTCGGGGAGAAAGTCCGTTATCCATATAAAATAAAACCAATAGGCAGTGAAACAAAGTATCCTAACCAGTCTTGTTTTTTTCTCCTTTGTTTTCAGCTAAAGTTGGCCATTTTCTTGAGGAAAAGTGAACTTTACCCATTAACGGTTGGTTACTGACTTAACTGGAGCTAATACCCGGGTGTCCTCTGGGAATAAGGAAATAAGGTAAAAAACGGTACCACTTGTTTCAGGGGAAGATACATTTAAGTAACTATTTACTTGAACTATGCACATCATGTATGAAACTATACGCGTTGCGAATTTAAGACACTTCGTCCCAATAAAAAAATTAGAGTTAAGTATTTGGCAAACCGATTTGCTAAATGGGTAACACAAATTCTGAATCTCAAGCAATATACTTGTGTATAATTAATTACTGAATTAAGTAATCATCTTGAACACAAGATTTCAATTAATTTTCCTTTGAGGGACACATTTACTTATCAAATAATTTTGAAATTCGGGTGAAATTTTGACAAAAATATTTCTGTTTGCATATTTAAAAAAATTGTTCAGTCGGTTCAGTGCGAACAGAGTCCTTCCTTCTTTGTGCAGACCCGTCGATAAATATATTTTTGGAATAAATCCAGCTTATCGAGAGTAACGGAACATAATGATAGCTTTCTCCCAGTAAGCCCACCCAATAAGCTCATCTCCCAGAGGAATTTTCCCCACCAAAAATAACTCCGAAAGCCGATTTTCAAAGAGATTTCGACAAAATAACTTTCTCTTTTAAACTTTCACTTCACAACCGCTTTTGAATTTTTTGTCGCAATAGATTGCAGAATATGCGTGTCTTGGCATATCTGCACTGCAAGTAATGTGATAAGCAGCTTGTCACATGGTGTAATAAAATCAGGGACCAATTATTATTTCTCTTACTCGATGCGACTCCTACATATTTACGAAAAAACCTCTTTTGGTGACCTTTTCTTAATCGAATCGGTCACTCTGGTGTTTTCTGATTCGTGACGAACGTGTCGTGGGTTCTCAGGATAGGAACATCATGTCCCGTTTGTTCTTTTATTTGTTCCTTCTTCGCGTACCGTCTGGTGGAGTAGATTTCCCGTGTATCACGAGATGGAAATGTCCCAACGTGTCCCAACGTGTTCATTTGTTGGATCACAAATACTCGAAGAAAGTCGGAATTTTTGTATTTCGTCCTTCTATGCCTGTCTCAGTTCCCGGCTGCACGCGTAAAAATGTGGGTATAACATTTTCGGATGACATGTTTAAAAGTATGCATGGTAACAAACCTGGTGAAAACTGAACTGGTGTCAAGAAAAATGTAAAGAACTTTTATCACATGATGAAAACATTACAAGCTTGTTTAATAAATCATATTTTGTAGAATTAATGAGTAATTATTGTTAAATTCCTTCAGGACAAGTCACACAATATCTAAGTTGAAATAGCTGCACAATTTAATTTCTAATTTTGTAATCGGCGTCAAACTGTGACAAATTGTACTTCGCAGTAAATATAATTTTTGGACCAATTTGATAATAAATACGCTACCAAACTGGACCATTTTCACGATAAAATAAGTCTTATGAAATATACCTGGAATATAAAAATATTGCAAGTTACCGATTAAAAAATCATCTTTATAAAAATTTACCACCAAATAAATTTTCACGACAATTTTACCGGTAATATTTTGTTATCACATTATTCAGAGTGTATAAACATACACGTAACCCTCTCGTAACTTGATACCCTTACCGCACGGGGGTATAGATTTGGTATCAAAGAGATCATTACGGGTGGCCGCAGAGGTGCAGAAGTCCAATAAAATCTTTCACCTGATCCCTCAACCACAAAGGCCAACCAAAAAACAGATCAACATCCACCCACTTGGAACAAATAAGAAAAATACGATTCCTTCGGGAACCCACGGAAAACATGTCATCCGTTTTTCAGAAAAGTTTTACCCTAGCTTCGATCATAGGCCACGAAAATAAATTCCAAGTATTTTGGTCATTTTTAGCACGGCAAAATTAACATGGGACAAATAGGATGACCCATATTCTTACCTCGAATCGATCACAACCTTCATGCACGATCCTACTTTCTCCGACTTGTTGTTCCCTGGTTTGAAAATTGGATGGATTTCTGAACCAGAATTCGAGTGGATCACTTGCTTTTTACGGAGTCTAGAAAGAAATGAAATCGAGTGAAAGGGTTGGATTTACACGAGAGTGTCTTTTATCCTTAAAAACCATGTTTTCTCACGCTTTTCGTTGGGCCCGTACAATTTTAGGTGAAAGTCGAAAAAAAGAGTTTAAACCTTCAAATCGTTACGATAATTCAGGGAATTATTATTTCGCGGAAAATTTTAACGTACCTAGAGAAGACCATTACCTTTTTAATTTCATTAAGTAATATGTTACAACTTTCTTGAATGGCATCAATGTTTTACAATTTTTAATTTGGTAAAATGTGTTTTCCTGTTGTTTTCTGAAATCGCCTCCTAATTTTAAAAAGAAGATGGAGTTCAATAGCTGACATTGTAAGTAAGTTAAAAAGTCACAGGGCCAGGTTATCTTCGCTTCTACTATTTCACCATAAATAGATTTGCTAAAGTTAATTCTAGACCATGTCCAGTTTGGTTGGTTATTTCAGAATCCATAGTTTCATGGCTAATAAGCCGGCAAATAATGTAATATGCAATTAGCTCATTTCCTTATTTTCACCCAAAATCCAAACCAAACCAAACCAAACCACATCCAATTATTTAAACAATTGCTCCAGAAGCTGCACCATGAAGCGTGTGGGATTGAAAACATTCAAAATTTGGTACATTGAAGGAGTGATAAATGCGCTGATTTATAAGCTACCCGCTTAATAATTGGTTTTACCGAGTTTTACTAATGAGCTGGTTTTGTTCGGAGTTTGATAAACAGTTTGTTAAGATTTGATTCACATGGTGGTAATGATTTGGTTAAAAATTTGTTACCAATTTGAAAGTTGGTTTAATGTTTTCACAAATTTGGTTTATGTATAATACGATTTGGTACGATTTTATTACCGAGTTCAGAGAAGGGTTTTTACCAATTGTTTCATAGTTCAAAAAGTTTGGAATAGTATTTAGTTTACCAATTTGGTATTAGTTTGTTACCATTATCGGCTAAATCACATAGTTTTAAAAAGTCACACGTAACCTCGACCCGGCTACAAACATTTTTACGGAATTATTCAGAGTGCAAATCCGCGTGGGAGGCAGACACGGAATTCAGAATCTCTCGTGGAATTGTTGAAACGTAAATTGATTCACGGTCCACTTCTCGTCTTATTGTTGTTTTCTCCTCGCCCGAAAATTGAAATCCGTCATGTTTTTGAATCCTCATTTCATCCAGGTCGCAAAATAGTTTGCAATTTATTCAGCACCAGAAATATGAATGAATTATTCCAATAAATCGTGTTTCAATTGCTTCAGCTTAAACTGAACATGTTAAAAACCTTCAACCTGTTTACGTCATTTGTACAGTAAAATCACGTATTTTTTTCAAAATGGCGTGATTATCAAACAAAATTTTTCAATTACTCAAAATTTCATTATTCCTTATAAAATTCGCAGCTTTGTTAAAAATCTGCTTCATTTTTCTCTCATCAAATGTACGTGCAATGAAATTACCTGGAAATTACTTGGTAAGGTGGGTGAGATTTTTCTGCTTACAATTATGGACATGATTGTAGTTAATCGTTGGCTAAGTAAATTATTTAGTAAGCTTTTGTTAAATTGAAAAAAGACTCATGCAAATTGTTTTTTCCAAATTCTAGAAATTACCTATATATTAAATTAAGTTTCTAGTGTAATATAAATTATTTTGTGCGGCGTGAAGGCCACGCTGATCTTATAATTATTTAAACTTATTTATTATTTCTCAACTCTTCATATTTAATTCTTGTTCTTTTATTTAAACGAAAATTCGAAATGTGAAACAAATTTCACTCTGATTTTAAAACTAGCAAGAATGATCATCGTTTCGAATTTGCATTGAAGTATTGCTCCACAGAACTCTCGTTCAAAACAAACAGTAAATATTACAACTTTTTGTTAGTTGTGTTTATTTTTGCAGGAATAAAAAATTGAGTTGGCAACAAAATCTCTGCTTCACTTGACTAACTTGAAGTTCATCATCTCGTCACACACATCACTCAATCAAATCAGACACTTGCTAAAAGCTCAAAAGTTGCACAATAAGGATGCAACACACGCGTCGACTAGAATCCTCATGTTGACACATCCATTTGAGAGGAGGATTTCAAAAATTAGTTCTCGAATTTCGTAATATTTTTACAGAGCTTAGAACACTCTTAGAAATTTTGGAAAAAATACGTTAGAATTGTATAGCTTTCTACTTTTATCACCAAATGGTAAAACTGTTGTTAGCCAAAGTATCAAGATTTTTCACCAGTCAATGGTAATGAAATTTATTCCAGCAAAAAAACCTTGCTTCTGTAATTATTTAAAAAGTAGGTTATTTGATAATTTTTCCACCCGGGTATTTTTCCTACCAAAGTTTTGTACTCTTTACTTGCAAATTTTGAAAAAGTTGCTTTTCCAAATTTATCTGTTCCGTCAGATTTTATCTCTATAATTGTCATCACCGAATATGAGCCACGATTTTTTTATCAATATTGGTTACATTGTGTTACCAGCTTGATATCGCTTGTGTCCCATGCCTGAATCGCTTATCAGAGTAGCAAGACACACACACAAAATAAGCGATTCTTTGATGATGATGTAACACACGACTCATTCTTCTCACTCAGCATGGCAAACAAAATAAGCACCGTGAGTAAATATTAGCATCGTCTCATCCTCTTCTCAAGGACACCAAGATGTCAAAACTCCCTAAAAATCGTGCACATCCTTCGTGCACGGTTTCCCTTTTTCCGAACACAATGCAAATGTGCCAGGTTTCCAGAAGTTGTCAAAAGTTGGATAACACAAAGCACCTCGCACGACGTGAGAGTTGCATAATAAACACTGCACAAAGTGCTAATTTTCCATTATACACTTTTTCCCCGGAGATGAGATATGAGATGTGTCATGTAACCCGTATCATGTCAAGTCACCCCATCTCCAATGGACATGTCATTTGCATGCACGCCATAAATTTGCCATGCAATTTAAGAATTTGACTTAATTTCGGAAT